GTATATCAGCTTGAAGATAGTTTCAAAAATCCTTTGATAACTTAAAACTTTGGACTGATGGCTAAATTGGGTTAATTAATTCATCAGATACCCAGAACATATCTAAATAAGATAAAATGCTGAAGCATTAATTATAAAATATAATTTTATTTTTTTTCATACTTTTTGCTCTGACTTTTATGTACTATGGAGAGGTTATATATTTGGGTCAGTTAAGGCACATGTTATTTTGGCCACATTAAGAAGTTTTTTATAGCTATAGAAAGCTATCATAAATATATTTATAAGCTCTACTAGTCTACTAGAAAATACTGATGTATGAAGATAGTTTAAAATTATCTACAGAGATTTCCCCCTTGATTAAGGTGACCAGACATCCCGTTTTTGGCGGGACCGCCCCGATTTTTAACAATTTGTCCTGCATCCTGCAGCGTTTTAAAAAAGTCCCGATTTTTGGAAAATCTAGAACACCTAGTCATTTTTAACAATTTGTCCCGCGTCCCGCGGCGTTTTCGGGACTTTTTTAAATTGCCGCGGGACGCGGGACAAATTGTTAAAGATCGGAACTGTCCCGCCAAAAGCAGGACGTCTGGTCACCTTACCCTTGACCAAACTTTAGTCAGGCTCTTATGAGTCTTCTTGTAGACTAGACCTCTACCTTGGGCTACTAAATCCAGTTTTAGCAAAGAATCTTAAGAAGCGCTCCCTCCCCAACCCCCCCAATATCTGATCAAACCCCTCATCCCATCCCCTGCTTTGAATATCTAAGACCATAGCCTGTAAAAATTCTGTTAAGCCAGTTTAGAAAGAATTCCCCTGCCCTTGTTCTCTAATCAAGTTCCTCTTGGTAATTTTCTATCTACTGCCTCCTCACTCTGTCCCTTGGCTCTGCATGCCCTGCCATCTTTGCCAATTGGAAATTGAGCTCAGTTCTGGACTGAAGTCTCCTTTCCTTAGTGCAGGAGATCTAATAAGATCTGTTTTGTTATTTCAACAAGTATCCAGTGCATAACTTTTTTCTGGCACTGCCTAGTGGTTTTCTCTGTGCCATTGAAGTGACTGTAGTTATAAAATTATTACAAACATATGTGAATAGGAGCAGTAGTAGCAGAGAAAGAAAACTTCCCATGCCAAGTGGGCAGAATGTCTTTTGTTAAAGATGATGAGAGTAATTTTATTCTGAATTAAAATGACTAGGTGTTCTAGATGAGAGAACAGTGTATTTAAAAAAAAAGAAAAAAAGAAAAAAGAAAAAAAAAAGCCTGGATGGAGAAAGTTGTAGCTGATTCATGGAAAGGAAGTTTGATTTCTTATATTCAAACCTGTGTTAAGTTTGATGAGTTTATGTATAAGATTTTAAATAAGAGCTTTAGTTTAAAAACTAAAATTGGATTTTCTTTCTTAAAAATGACAATTTTTTCCTTAAATTATTTTTCTTTACATTTTCAGTAATCTACCTAGAATACAGCTATTAGGGGTCTTCTCAGAGTACTTTCCTAGATTTTGTGTTGACTTTATCACGTCCTTGATAATTTATGAGACAAGTTTTTTTACTTAAAGAGCTGAAGTTCTTCATAATCATGGTATGGCCTATGTCTACTTTAAAAAATTTGTATTATTATTTGGGGTAAATAGATAAATAGAGTTTCTAAGTAATCCATGATCGGACAGAGTCTACTATTCAAACTTCTGGACAACTTTTTATGCTTCACCTCCCAAAAATCAAATCCTAAATGATATCTTTTGGGTTGACAAGGAAAACAATGTAAATCTATACTTGAGTAAAGAAAGACAATATTAAGCAAAAGTTTTGGAACAAGGAGATACTCAAAGCCTAAGCCAGAGAAATTTCAGGCAAGATGTGTGCAAGCCAAGCTTTTATAGGCAGAGGCCTGCAGTAGATTGATAGGTGCCCATGGAAAGTAGAAGAGAGATGCAATGCTGAAGCTGGTGTGTGGGAGGAGCCCTTAGACTTAATTGCATCACATAATGTACTAGAGAAAAGTTGAGGCAGCAAAGTTGATATGTGATTAAGTTCATGGGGTTAGGATTCTGCATCTGATATGGAGAAAACAAGCTTAAGTGCAGGAAGTTTGCATGGAGTTGAGGGCCTAGTGGTCCTCAGCAAAGCAACCTACTGATGTGTAATCAGCTTTGCTAGTCCCTCTTCTTGTTCAAGGCAGGCTCAGAGAAACTGTCCTTGAACAAAACAGGGATAAGAAATATTTCAAACACAGGATGGCTGAGTGGAATGGTCCTCAGAGTCAGCATTTTCTCAGTGATGTCCCTAGAGAATTGGTGGAAACATTTGTTTTGGTTGTTTTCAAAGGCCAGTCATTTCAGTGTCCGATAGGTCAGGCATCTTACGAGTGGGATCCCTAAAATGAAAAAGAGAAATGTTAACACAAAGGGAAGGAATAAAGAGCCAGAAGTTGAACCAATGAATTTCAAGAGCTCAGTGAATGAAACCATTTAATTATGAAGCACAGCTTTGTAAATCATATTAGGACTTTGTCCAGCATCTAAATTACTACTCTGATGCAGGTAAACAGGGCCTGAGCATTTCTCCAGAATTCCTTAGTGTCTCAAACAGCAGCTTTTCAGGGGAGAAATCGACCCATACATGGTCTACTGCAGTGATGAGTCCCAGGTTTATAACAAGTGATCAGGCTTTAGCCTGTAGTGTTTCCTTAAATCCTGGAGGAAAAGGCCTGCCACAAAGCAATCTAGACTCCCAGTAAGGATATGGGCAGTCAGAGTTTAGATCTCAGTGACTTAAAGTCAAGAGAAAGTGAGAAAAGGTAGATTAATTTGGAAGGTTGTAGCCAGATATTGAAGGAAATAGAAAGATTTGCTAAGTTCACAATGTGTACCATATAAACAGATCCAAATCCAATTTTTGAATAGGTATCAAAACTAGTTTATCCATAGTGGATAGGAAGCCAGTCAAGTATCTACCAGACAAGACAGAGTTTGTATATCAATCCATTATCTGAAATTTACAGAAAGGTTTAACATAGCTCAAAGACAATGATGAGGATCAGAATCTGATCATCCAGAAGAGTCAGCTATAGTTTCCCATTGAAGCAAAATTTCTCTCCACAGTCTCTCTTCCCCTCTGGTCAAACACAATCTCAAAGAAAAGTTATTATTCTTGATCACAAAATAAGGCTGGTCTTATTACATGTGGCCTAGTTATTTGCATAGATGCACCAAGAATGGCAATTTACCACATAGGTTTTAGATTCGCTTTGCTGGAAGTTTTCATAAAGAATCTCAGATTGGACTTTTCAAAGCCTCTTGAGGGTAGGAAGCCAAGCCAAGAATTCACCCCCACTTTTCACCTGCAGCACCCAGTGATTGGATGGGAATTCCTCTCTTCCTGAGATCCCCAAAGTAGCCTAAGATTATCCTGAGCCTGCCAGGAAGTGACCTTCCTCACTCACCTGGAAGGCTGGGAACTCTATGAAGCCAGGGACCAGGCCAGTCTTCCCAAGAGAGACTTGGTAAGCATTGGCCCCCACCAAGTCAACCTTAGTTCCTAGAAGCATCTGGTCATAGCTGATTAAATGAGCATCATTCTCAAATATGACATTATAGGCAAAGCCTTGGTTGCATAATCAATGTTTCCAATTATGGGCCACTTGTTAACAAGGTGGACGGACTCTTACTGAATCTATGCAGATAACTGTATTGCCATGAACTTAAGAGTACTCAATAGGAGTTTCAGAATTGTGAAAAGGTGAATCAGGGTAGAACAGATAAATGTTTCATTTCTGTTTACAAGAGCACAGTCTACTAAATTGTTATGAGTGATAGATAGCTTAATAGAAAGTGGTTCCTTATACCCAGAGAATAGAACATTAGAGCATCAGCACTATTCCAAACAAAGCCCATATCCATCCATCAGCAGTTCATTCAGTCCTATGCCATCAAACCTGTCTCACTCTAACTTGGATTAGCAGTCTCATAAATCCATCTTCTTCTCAACTAAGGTTCTGGAAATCGTGACCGAGTCCACGAATAACCAAAGTTATTTAAGCAATGCCATCAGGAGCCTGTGTGTAAGAGTAGCTGGCATAGTTCTTTCCCGTGGGTCTCTGTGACTGTTCTTTTTGGCTGAAGACAAGGAACTCGGGCAGGTAGCTAATCTGTATGCTTTGGAAAGCATCCGAGTAAAACACAAAACTATCTGTATTTGATAAAAGACTTAAAATGCTCATGCTTAATATTTTCAATAGTTTTCAAAAGGGAAAAGGTGATGAGAGTTCACTATAAAAAATATAATTGGTAAGAAAATTTGCCTATGTGAAATTTTGCCTTTGTTTGTTAGGTTAGTCCAAAAGTTAAAAAAAAAAAAAAGCATAAACATGATGGTTTATTTCATTTTCAAAGAATAGTGGATATTACATCCAATTTATGAATATGGAGGAACATATCCTTTAAAAGTCAGATGTAATAATCCTGAAACATAATATGCCATAAATTTACCAAGCATGTAATTAGAATAAAGCAGTACTATATCTAGGTTATAAAACAAAGTGGTTTAATAAAGCTGTATAAGTTTAAGAAAAACATATCTGATTAGAATAAAAACTTATTTTTGGAAGATTGTTAACTCACAAGACCTAAATGTATTTTTTAAACCAAGAACATCAAACTACTCTCATTTGCCAAAGATGTACTAATATCATGTGAGCTTGAATTTTTAAAACATTTTGGGACATTTATATAAGAATACCCCACACACATATAGTGTATACTAGAAATTTAATTTTCTTAGCTTCTGAGAATTTCAGGATATTAAAAATTGTAGCCTCTTATTTATCTGTTAGCCAATAAAAAAGAAGCTTTTAAAAATAATTTTGTAGTTTAATGTGGTAATGCAATTTGTAAATAGGAAAATATTACACATACATTCATATGTACATACTTACATACACACACATATAGAACACAGACAGGTAACTTACAGCTTTAGTTTTTTTAATTTTAAACATTTAGCCATGGTTTAGGCATAAACCCCAAAATACAAAACTCACTGTAAAAGAGCTGACTTGCATTCTTTCCTCATTTTTACATTTGGGTGTTTTTCTGTGTGTGTATTTTGTTTGTTTGTTTTTACATTTTACAATGACCATATCTCTGGCATATGGGGCAAATTGAAATAACTCACTCAATATGAGGGCTAAAGCATCTTTACCAGAGTTTGTGGAGCAGACCTTCCTATGGAGACTGTGGACTAGTTTTTGGGAGGGAAATAGAGGAGATACCAGGCAGCCATCTGGGGTCCCAAAGTCAATTTGAGTGTAAAAATTACCCAGCCTGTTTCCTATTAGTGTTTTCAGGCTGTTACTCTTCATGTCTCTGAGCTCCACCGGAGCCCAGCAGTGTTAGAGGGACTTAAGTCTCCAATGACTATAGGGAGGTTGAAGGGTTGGAGTGAGAAAGGAAAAGTCTGGCAAGGGTGGACAGAGTGGGGGGGAGAGGTGTAGAGGTGGTGAAGGTGGAAGCCAAAAGGTTCAAGGGAGATTAAGGGTGGGAAGAAGGAGAAAGGAGAAGTTGGAAGGATGAGTGATGCGAAGAGATGTTTTAGAAGTTGTTGAGGAAGGAGGATGCTCTTTGAGAGAAACAATCATCTCTGAAACATTTTTGTGGGAGAGATAGTTTTCTGTTTCTTTCTACCAAACAATAAAAGCAGTTCATTGTTAGGGTGAGATTTGGAATCAGGGGATTCTAGAGTTCTGCTCATAATGAACCCAAATGGTCTAAAATCCAGGAAAGTGACAGAGGAGAGAAAAAGTTCCTCAAAAGGCCATTGAAATTCTAAATGGTCATTACTAAAATTTTTCCATTTTTTTAAAGAATTAGTACTACAATGATGGGTGGAATTAGTACCATAATGATGTAGGACATACCCTACAATGAAGAGATCTAAGGGACAACAATTAGACTGGTAATCTCCCATGATAACACCTGTTTGTACTAAGGCCTTTGGACATTAGGCCAGGTATAATTTCCAGGGAGAGAATCAGAGGCTTTGAACACACTCAAAAAAGCTGCAGAATAAGAAGACAGAAAAAGAGAAGAAAAAAGACAAAAATAAAGGGAAAATAAAGTCAAGTCTTTACCATGCTACAACAGACAAACATTTGGAACACTGGGTTAGGAGGTCTCACTTACCATTATTGATCCCGATGTCCCAGCCAGGAAAGGACAGAGTCTAACAAAACAGCATTGAGTGAAAAAAAAAATACCAGGGTCCATCAGAGTCACTGCATCATTACTGTCAAAGACAAAATACAATCTGGATGTTAGCATGAAAGTCTTCATTAAGAGGATACTGCAGTGGGAGCAGGAGAGTATTATAATAGAAAGATGCTCAAAGACTAAGCCAGAAATGTCTCAGGAAGAGATGAGTGGACCAAGCTTTTAAATGCAGAGATAGCTGTAGAACGTAGGTGGGAGGGCGGTGGTGAAGATGGTGGTGGGAGGGGGTTTTTGAAACTTAACAAGCTTCATCAAGTATTTTAGCAAAACGTCAAGACAGGAAATGGAAATGTTGGTTGTGGTCAGGCACAGGGGCCAAGTCTGCACCTAAGATGAAACAAACAAGTACAGGAAGTTTCCATAGAATTGAAGGCCCCTTAATGTGTCAAGCTCAAATTTTGGTTAGCCTTGTCAGCACCTAAAATTGTCTTTGTGGTTTCCAAGAGATACCCTGGAAAATCACCACGATTTTTTCTTTCCCCTTGTGAAAAGAGAAAAATTTGAAATACTTAGGGCTATTTGATATGTTACCAATGACGAGTTACATTAAAAATACTGTCAGATCTGAAGAAATACTTAGACTTTCCTAGGTTAAATTTGTGTGGGTAAAATGTTATTAACATTAATATTTAAATACTTGTATTCTATATTCACAGAAAGTTTATTCACAGAAAGTTCCAGAGAATTGTCAATGTTTTTGCTGTAAATGATTTGTTTCTATTTATCCAAGTCCTTGTGTTGCTTTGCCTATACGACAAAAGCAGCATAGTGCTATTAGTCATAGTTTCAATTATTATTGAAAACATTAACTTGGTTGTAACTTCTTTAATTTGAATCTGATATATTGCAGGCTAGTAGTTTTTTATTTGTAACTCACAACTCTTATGTGTGGAGTTTTATTAATCTTCTAGAGGCCTGATGCACAAAGATGTGTGCAAGAATGGGCCTTCCTTCCCCTGGCTGCCGGCACCACCTTTGCTCCGGCACCACCTTTACTCTTTTATTAGTGTAGATTGATGTTTAAAACCAATTCCAGATGTGCTGAATCTATTTACTTGATAATATTGATAGTCTTTTCATATTCTAACGATGTGCTAGTTGTAGGTGGCATCCAATGTCTCAGGATTTTTATATGTTTATATCTGAAAATGTTTTCTCTGTGAAGATGATGCTCTTCCATTTTCATAAACTAGATATAATATCCACCTTTTTAAAAAAAATAGACTTAACGTTGTGTTTATAGATATTTTGTATAACATTGTTTTGGACTGACTTTGTTGTGTTTATAGATATTTTGTATAACATTGTTTTGGACTGACTTTGTTTGTTTTGGAAACCACCAGATATGCTTATTAATTGCATTATTGTAACAAACCCTCTTTAGATTATTCCCTTTTGAAAAATATTAATAAGTAAATAATAGCCATTTTTAGCCTTTGACATCTATAGATAGTTTTGTTTGTGTGTTTTTTTTTACACCTGATGTTTCCAAGAAATCAAATGCAATTAGCTATAGGACAGAAGATTCCATCTTCAACAAAGAAAGACTGTCTTAGAACCTGCTGAAAAAGGACCATGCTAAGGACTCTTGGGTACAGGCTTCTGATGGCATTGTCTAAGCAACTATAAAATCACACCAGTGGATCAAGTCAGGAACTACAGACCTCTACTGGAAAGCAAATGCATTCATTGGACTATTACTCAAGCTCAAGTGGAAGAAAAAATGATTGCCTAGGACTGAATGGACTGAATAAACTGGATGAATATGAACTTCGCTGATGCATTAATGTTCTATTTTCTGGATATGAGGAACTGCTTTCTGTGAAGCTGTCTATCACTCATAACAATTTAGTAAATGATACTCTTATAAAGAGAAATGATCAGCTACCTGCCTCAATGCTTTGTCTTCAGCCAAAAAGAACAGTCACAGAGACCCACGGGAAAGAACTATGCCAGCTACTCTTACACACAGGCTCCTGATGGCATTGCTTAAATAACTTTGGTTATTCGTGGACTCGGTCACGATTTCCAGAACCTTAGTTGAGAAGAAGATGGATTTATGAGACTGCTAATCCAAGTTAGAGTGAGACAGGTTTGATGGCATAGGACTGAATGAACTGCTGATGGATGGATATGGGCTTTGTTTGGAATAGTGCTGATGCTCTAATGTTCTATTCTCTGGGTATAAGGAACCACTTTCTATTAAGCTATCTATCACTCATAACAATTTAGTAGACTGTGCTCTTGTAAACAGAAATGAAACATTTATCTGTTCTACCCTGATTCACCTTTTCACAATTCTGAAACTCCTATTGAGTACTCTTAAGTTCATGGCAATACAGTTATCTGCATAGATTCAGTAAGAGTCCGTCCACCTTGTTAACAAGTGGCCCATAATTGGAAACATTGATTATGCAACCAAGGCTTTGCCTATAATGTCATATTTGAGAATGATGCTCATTTAATCAGCTATGACCAGATGCTTCTAGGAACTAAGGTTGACTTGGTGGGGGCCAATGCTTACCAAGTCTCTCTTGGGAAGACTGGCCTGGTCCCTGGCTTCATAGAGTTCCCAGCCTTTCAGGTGAGTGAGGAAGGTCACTTCCTGGCAGGCTCAGGATAATCTTAGGCTACTTTGGGGATCTCAGGAAGAGAGGAATTCCCATCCAATCACTGGGTGCTGCAGGTGAAAAGTGGGGGTGAATTCTTGGCTTGGCTTCCTACCCTCAAGAGGCTTTGAAAAGTCCAATCTGAGATTCTTTATGAAAACTTCCAGCAAAGCGAATCTAAAACCTATGTGGTAAATTGCCATTCTTGGTGCATCTATGCAAATAACTAGGCCACATGTAATAAGACCAGCCTTATTTTGTGATCAAGAATAATAACTTTTCTTTGAGATTGTGTTTGACCAGAGGGGAAGAGAGACTGTGGAGAGAAATTTTGCTTCAATGGGAAACTATAGCTGACTCTTCTGGATGATCAGATTCTGATCCTCATCATTGTCTTTGAGCTATGTTAAACCTTTCTGTAATTGCTTTTGACTGATTTTGTCTTATATAGTAACCAAGCTTTCTCTTTCACTGAGTAAAACAGTTTGGTATTGAACTGGATTCACCCACTTTGCACAGATTGTCAACCCTTCCCAGGTTTTCAGCTCTTCCAGACCCTCAAATCTGGCTACAAACTCACCTTAGCCTTCAAACTAAGATTTCCATTCTTTCTCCCTTCTTCTTGACTTGGAGTCACTGAGAACTAAAATCTGATTGCCAGATTCTTATTGAGACTCTAAGATTGCCTGTAACTGTCTTGCCCCCTGAGACTGAAGACTCATTGCAAATTCAAACCTGAGGACTTGTTATAAGCCTACTACTGGGATTCATCATTTTAGCTGATCATTCATGGTATATCTCTTTCATTGGATAAACTGCTGTTTGTACTACTAAGAAAGTCTGGTGAAATTCTCAGATCACCCATGCCCTGACTGGAGACATAACCAACTCTTTGGACCACATCACCAAAACAGTCAACATCATAACTTCAAAAACTTCAATGAATGGTGAGAGATTAAATATACAAACAGGCAATGACAAGATTATATATACAAATAAAACTCTGACACACATCCTCTATAACTAGCAGTCTAAGAGCCCATCTACAACATCAGCCCCAAATCAGGTCCTGGTCAGTAATTGCCAGCTTCCCTAATTTTTTCTCCTACTTTTAACTTAGGATTGACCATAGAAAGCCAAATATGTATTCCTAACAAATTATATTGGATGGCCCACGTCTAGTTAGCCTGCTTTCAGCTTCTCATACCAATAGCCTCTAGCTATGGCCCATCTAATACTTTTCCTTTTTCCCACTAGAGCAGGGGTGGGAAACTTTTTTTTTTTTTTTTTTTTCCAAGAGCCATTTAGATGTTTACCACATCATTCGTGGTCTATAAAAAATTATCAAATTAAAAATCAGCCTGCTATATTTGGTCAAACATTTAATTAACTCAACCCTAGTGCCTTGGCTGAGCCAAATAAAATGATTTTGTGGGCCTTATCCAGTCCATGGGCTGATGTTCCCCAATCCTGCATTGGAGCTTCCTCACTACCCTACACGCATTTGAGTTTCTGCCAAACTCAAGTGATGGTGGTGACTCGCTTCCTACAGCAAGCTCTAAGTAAATAGCATTTGCTTGTTTTCATTGATGTGATCTTCATTTATTTCCATAGTTTTCTTGGAGGTTCCACTAAGATACAGTTTCCACTGACCATGAGCATGGACTCCTGTCTTCATACAGGTGGAGAAGCCCTTGAGCTTTAATGCTCACCTCTTGTCAAGTCCACAACAATGAGGTAAGTCTACACCAGGTCTACCCTCCACTCTCTTAATGTTGAGTTGGTTATTTATTCTCAGATCTGCTCCCAGCTGTTGTTATCAGCCCCCCCCCTTTTTTTTTAGTAGAATCAAGCAATTCTTTTTATCCCCCTTTGCTGTATTGGTGTTACCATTTTTTAATGTGCTGTCTGAAAGTGTTATCTGTCATAAGAAGGAAAATCACTGGGTAGAACACAGGCATATGCCTTATCAGCCTGTTGTCACAGCTGCCTGCAGACCCTTGACTCTGTAGTTATCAGAACTGTCCATTTGGTTAACCTTTGTTGTAGGTCACTAATAAAACTTGATGATATTCTCCTTCCATCTCCA